ATGTATATCGATCCTTACCGAAATCATAAACTTATCAAGTGGTAAAATAATCATTCGGACAATTTTTCACTAGATGTTCCAAAATTTATGAATAGTTGTAATTTTAATTTGTTATCTCACCCGTGAAAACCCTGTAGAATATCTATCAACATGGGATATGCAATGTGTCGATCACATTGCAATTCGTGTAACATTGGACGGTTCCCCCTGTTCCTTTTCCCTGAATATTACCACTCAAAAATTATTGATATAAAAAACAAACCTTCACAAACTTGGTTTTTTTTCAACTTTATCTTAAATATATCGCTTAGAGATTATTGATTGAGTATTTTTAGTAGTGTTTCTTATAGTTATTCCTTTTATTATTGAGGTCATCTATTTAAAAATGAGAATACAAACTAATAAACCAACCAAAAAGACTGTATTGCTTAAACGTGTCAATAAGAATTTACAAGAAGAATATGTGTGACCATATGCATATACTGCGCAAGACAATGAAATTCAAGTTTCATCGGGTTCAATAAATAATGGATATGACAGCAGTAAAAATTTACGAGAAGGTCCATTATGCAGAAGTTAGTTTATTAATAATGATTTTGATTACAGTTTCTCTACAGCTTCAGATGCAATGAATAGCGTTTCAGATACGATGAGCAACAGTAACCAACTTATTAATAATTTTGAAAGTAATTTTTTTACAACTTCAGATGCACTAAGTAGTGCTTCGGACACAATAAGTAGTAGTGACCAATCAATAGTTACGAGTGAAATTGAATTACAAGAGACGAAAACAGAATGTGCACAATCTATAGTAGAAGACAATGGAATTAATTTTCAGCCACTATCCGGAGAGTACGATCCATATTTTAAAAATTTTACAGAGATGTCACTTTTTATATGAGTTACTAAGCACATGATAAGTGAGTATTATTAATAGGAATCTTCATAATTTATTTAATTTATTTTTAATTTTATTATCATTATTATTTTTTTCTTTAAATAATTATTTGAATAATTGATTACCTTATTTCAGCAACTAAGGCGTATAAAGACCTTGTATGTATTATAAAGCATCCTAACTTTCGACCCAATCAAGTAATTGAGAACATTCAGTGATTAAGGTCATTAAGAAATCACCTCCCACTTCAAACAATAAAATGCCATAAAGTTTCAATTAAAGACACAAATACACCATTAATGTTAACTTCTTACAAGAATGCGTATACTATATCCGTAAGCGAGCACATCTGAAGAGTTCTAAGTAATAGAGATTTATAGTCACAAATGTATTTTGGGCCAGGAGTCAAAACCGAAATAAAATCAAAGTTCTGGCATGGGAGCATTTGGCAAAAATCGCCTTTTTTGGCCTATTCTCAATACAAATAAATCAAGATAACATTTATATGAAATGTGAAATAATGGTTTGCTAACAATTTCAAACTATAACTAAGCTTATATTCCATCTTTTTGTTTCAATTTTTTTTTAATAATAAATTATATTTAGAATTATATAAAATAGGGTCATTCATTAAGTACAAAGACCAAAAAATAAGAATCGAAAGAATTATAGCGATAGTCTCAACCTCTAATGGTAATAAATTGAAAGTTCAACTTCTTTATTTTGGTTCAGAATTGCCAAGAGCTTTTACAAGTTTAGCAAGGATAGAACGATCGCGGAATGGTGAATTATGGTTAAGCGAAATAATATACTTAATTGATCCATTTAATGTGATTGAACTAGTTAAAGTTTGGCTAAAGATATTCTTGAGCTACTGGATTATCAATTTTATGTGAGTGAAATCTTATATAGTCATGAAGCCCAATGGAAGATAAGAGACTGCAAATTACGACATCTTCACCTAATTGAATACACACAAATTCTAGCATCAGCTCCTCATAATGTGCCTACATTTAAAATAATGCTGGACATCTATTATGACGACTTCGGCATTTTCCGAAATGTATATCATTCTCTGGACAGAATCTATCTTCAATTTTGTAATATGCCTTTACGGCTAAGACAAAAACTTAAAAATCATTTCGTTTTGGGCTTTGTTCTATTTGGAGAAGAGTTTGATGATGTAATGAAACCAATAATAAATGAGATTAAAAATTTAGAAAAAGACACTTTATTTAATATTGCGGGTCAAGACATATGGGTAATTGCTGCTTTGGGTGTTATAACTGCTGACTTCCCTCAAGATAACGATCTTGCTGATACGAAGCATCATAGTGCTAATCAAGGATGCAAAAGTTGTTTGGTGCCTAAGGAGCAATTGTGTGATCTTACTTTTGACATTAAGTTAAATGCAAGATATTATCATCTTATGAATAAAAAAATGAGCAAGCTAGAAAAATTAGTACAAGAGAGAGCATCACAAAAAACCATTAATGATTATTGTACTAAATATGGTTTAAGTGTACGTTTTAGTATTTTTAATCAGATAACATGTAACCGTCATTTGCAGACTCTACAGAATGCGTATCACGCTGTAGCTAGAAAAGTACAAAGGTTAATGGATTGTACTTTTTCAATATTAAGTCCAATAAGAAAATCTACATTTTTAAAATATTGGAAAAACTTTGAGACACTGTCCAATTGGTATCATCTCCCTAACCCAATCAAACACTTTAATAGTTTCATGTTTTCTGATTGTTTGCGGTTGGCAATGATAATGCCATTTTTATTACGACGATTTTTATTAACGACACATATTAAAGATGCTAATTTAGATTTGCTACAAAAATGTCTTACAACATCAACAAACAAATGATTAAAGGCAACACAAATTGTGAATGAAATTATTTTGTGCTGGGTAGCTGTTGCAAAAGCATCCTGTTTAAGTTTCAGTTTTACCTTTACCGAGCAAACCTATATGGAATTAGATGAAGGTCTAAAAATATAACATGTTCTTCTATTAAAAGTAAGTATATTCTGCTTATAGTATTATGGCAACAAAAATTTTATGTTTTTTGTAATACTGTATGTATGTACATGTAGGTCTTAATTTGATGATTGTAATAAATTTTTTGATATTATTGTATTTCAGCTTTTTCCAGATAATTTCAATAATTTACCAAACTTGCATATAAATCGACACTATGTTCAGAATGTCTGCAACTTTAGGATGCTCGTAAACATCTTTGTAGAAATCAAGGAAGCAGTACACAAAATCTTCAAAAGTTCTGTTATGAAAATAAATTGTAAGAATGCAGAATTAGATTTCATTCGACAACACAATATACTCCAAACAATTCGTTATCTGATCAATAGAGGCAAGGATAGCTGCTTTCAATATATTGGACAAGGTTTTCAAAAGTTTACAACAGATCCATTACTTCAACCTATATTATCAGATTGGCATATGGCACAGAATATTCAAGAAAAAGATACGAATGTTATTAGTAAATACAAATCGATATACATTAATTTTAATTATCGAAACTCCAGAATAAACAAAAAAGTGAATATAAACCTTAAGCCAGATAATATTTTATTTCTATCACATGATTATGATTTATTTTATTTATCATCATTATTAAGTATTAATGTTAATACTTAACGAATTCTCGATGGTTTCTTAAAAAGGAAATAACTTGAACAAATGTGAAAGGGAATAATGTCTATACCAACATACAAGTAGGTGGCATTTTCTCACATACCTTTAATTTTAAGGTCATAATTCTAAATTACTAACTTTCATATATTCGTAAAAGGATTAACTTTTTTATGTATTTGACATTTCTCTTTAATTCAAACTGTTCTTGGAGTTTCTATTTACTAAAGATTTTAAGCAAAAACTATCATTATTATTATTAGTATAATAATGTAATTTTTTATTACAATAGATACAAATATCACGTCATATGATGATAAAATAAAAAACATTAAAACACGAAAACGTCTATCAAAAAGTGAAGTCCACCAGCTTTCTTTACCTATTAACCTTGACGACAATCTTCAATTTACCTATGATGTCATAAGTGCATATGATATTTATATAAAAAAAAGGGCAGCTTTAATATATAGGCATGTGGAATTTTATAAACAGATAAAATATACTTTATTAAATGATGATGCTACATTTGATACGTATATGAATTTGCATTCTGATGATATAGTGCAAATTCAGAAAGAAAACGGTCTATCATATGCTATATTGAAGGAAATATTTACACATTGTTATAGAACAATTATTTTATTTTATTTTATCATTAGTTATTTTTAGATATTATTTATTATTATTAGTATATTATTTTATATTGTTATATATGATGTAATACTTAGTTACTGTGCCAATTACTGTGCATTACTGTGCCAGTTACTGTGCCGATTACTGTGCATTACTGTGCCAGTTACTGT